GCATATTGAACCTTCAGGTCTTTCAATGAGCTGCACTCTTTCACTTTACCTCGCTGGTCCCTATCCCTAAAATGCTCTTCCTGCTCCTCAGTCTTCAGTACTTACCTTACAAGTCAGTTCCTCTGGGAAGCTTTCCCTGAGCAATCTAGTTTGCGGGTGCACTAATACCTAAGGTTTCTTCCCTTCAGTGTGCTTATCTAATTACCTATGCTCAAACCCACTCACAACAGATTTGGGTCAGGTCGAGACTACGAATGGAAACCCCTGGACTGTAACTTGCTCTCTCCTTTCTTCCCATTCACATTTCCATCATGACTGAGAGGAGCTACATGCACATGGACACCACAGTCCACACACCCAAGCTCTATCCACAACCACTTTCTTAAACTGCTCCCCCCACCCAATCCACAGGCCTGGCAGAGCTTACGAGGTCAATGTTATCTGCTCTAAGGGGCTGGAACTGGAAAGAGGCCAATCCATGCCTGGGAAGCTGCTGGAACCATTGAGGGAGGAATTCCTATTCTAGAAGCCTGGAGAAAGGATGGGGGCAATGTGCTTGAGGTGGAATTGTTTCATTGGCTCCACCCATGGCTAGAGTGGGACCTCATACAGCACAAGGCCTAGTGCAAGGGGCAGCTCGCCGGGATCAGGGAGAGGCTTCCTTCCTGCCTCCCTCTACATGAACTTAAACTCCTAAAGAAGATGCCCCAGGCCAGCTTGATCACCATGTGTGTTACACAGTCTTTGGCACAGCATGTAGTAGCTCTTTGATGAATATTGACTAAATAAATTAAATGAATTACAGAGTTTGGGGAAGACGAGGCAGGGGTTGCACAAAGGTTAATAAAAATATGTTCAGTTCAGCAAATATTTACTGATCTCCTAGGGAGGAGGCACTGTGGGAGATTCAAAGATGAACCAGTGATGGCCCCTATACTGAATTGGTTACAATCTAATAGCTGTTTTAATACATATTTGTGTGTATAGTGCCAGGCCACTGGATATGTCAGCTCATGGTGAAATATGATTATGGACATTCATTTCTTAAAGGAAAATATTTAAAGAAAGATGCCGATTCCTAGAGAGTTAATGTATCTTCATAGTTAGAGAATTTTGGTCCAAGATTTAATTCTGATGGTTGATTGAGGCACAAGTAAGACTTTCCATACATGTTAGACACATTTCATTTTAGTTGCATCTTCTATTTCTTTGCATTTTTACCTGGTGAGTAACTGTGGAATGCAAACAACTTTTTCTCCTTGTCCTTTGTCCTCAGCATAATAGCCTCCTTAAATAATTCTACCTTCCTGGGCAATATAGTGTCCTGTGGACCATTACAAACTGAGCTCCTCATGGGGAGTAGGTGGGAACTGACTGCGTATTCTTCTCTGACACAGTGCTTATTACTTTTCTTTGTACAAAACGTTTAATTGACTCACATTGTAGAACCAAAAAGATGTGTATTTGCTGGCAACTATTTGCGAAAGGAGCGGTACCTATACTACCAGATGATCATAATCGCATTTCTCAAAAACTGGCACATTTCATCAGACATTTGTATTATTTTTAAAAGCCTCTTTGATAAACGTGGCCCCTGGCCTTGAGGTCCTCTCCAGCTAGTTGCATTTGATTGCAATTGTTCATCTTCATTAGGAACTTCACCTATAATTGAGTGCATTCAAGCAAAACCTCGGTAGGTATTTTAACACAACACGCAGTTGCTTTCAAGCTTCAAATCAGAACATCTATCCTGTTGATTTTTCTAATTTCCAAGTTTTTTCTTTGGTTTAGTTACTTGAATAAATTGTTGGATTTGGATCCATCCTAAATAGAAGACCAAAATGCAATGTGTTACTTGATCAATATCTTAGTGCTTTAATGGTCTTCATTTATCCTCCTCCATTTCAGTATTACAGGTCATGTCTTAATAAACTTCAAAGGCCTCCCAAGTAACTTAGAAATCCTATCACTTATCATATTACCTAAAATAGATGGCCTACTCACTGAGGTTTGGAAACTTTTTGCTCTGTAGAGACTCGAAGAAAGTATGTTAGACTCTTTCAGGATGCACAAAAGAGACAAGAGCTCAGGTTACTTCCCAAAAGTCATGGGATTTATCATATGTGTTCTTTAACCAGAGTTCTTTTTACCCTTTCTTCAGTACTCTATAGGCTCCCCTATCAACCTTACTACCCTGACTCATCCTTCATTCAAGCAGCTAGGCCCATGGCATTCATTGCCTCAAGTGAGAGTTGCTGCAGCAAAAGGCAAACAAAAAAAGGTCTCTCACTGGGTTGGGTCTCAATGTTGTAGCATCCTAAACCCAGAAAAATAGATAGGACTCAGAATATATTAAAAAAAAAAAAAAAAGAGAGGAATAAGAGCTAACACTGCTTCCCCCATGTATACAGATAACCTCGGGCTTCCCAAGCCTGGGGGAGATAGGAGTGATGAGGAGAGAGCCAAAGGGAGGGGACATGTGCAGACCTGCAACGAGGAGGGACTTGGATAGTAGGGGTCCTCCAGGTCATCTGCTTGGCCTTTCCTCCTTCAATATGCCCTCTATGACCACCAGCCTGCAGCCCCTGGGAACCAGTCAGCCTCCGCAGACTAAATAGAAGACCAGTCCCCACCCTAAACAATGCACTTTGCTTCTGCACAGGGCTGTACACCTCTCCCTCCCAATGATCCCCACAAATGTCCTGCTGTGACAGCAGATAGCGTACCCCTTGTGACCCTTTGGGAGAACAATGCCAATATAGCCCCAGACTTTGTCAGTCCCACTAACCTAACCCAAGTTGCAATAACCCTGAACACTCATGAACGCTTGAAGAAGGACAGCAGCTTGGATACCCCTTGAGGAGCAGGTGGTATGGAAAGAAAAGTCCTCGAACCAGTATGTAGAAGCAACTGAGCTAGAGCTTCCCCAAGCCCCACCCCCTACCGCAGCCCTGAGGCAGGCATTAGTAAAACACACTATTAGATAAGAATTTACTGGAAAGGTAGGCAGTCAGGAAATCACCCCAATTCAGCCCAGCCAAGTCTCATGGAGACCGGAATATCATCCAAGACACAATGCAACACCAGCCATCAATCCATCTTCTCCCCTCAGCAGCCTCCTTCTGCTGTTCCCACTCCAGTGCTCCATGGGGGTGAATAAGGCAGCTACTCCCCCTGTTGCTGGGTCTCTAGTTCAGCTGCTCCTGCTGCTACCAACTAATTCTGAATGTCTGGAGTTCAAGATACTCAAGCGACAGGGCTGATTGGTAAGCTCAGGGCTGATTGGTGGAAGGGCTGGGCTGAGCTCTCAGGCCACAACCCTCGGAGGCCACAGGCCAGCCTATGAGTTGGCTGCCATTGGATAGGGTACCAATCACTGGCTGGATCCAGTGATGCCAAATACAGTTGGGGAACTGTAGGAATGGCAGTTATTCTGAGAAAGGGGCAGGATGAGTAGCAGATGCTTTACATGCCAGGCCAAGAAAGGATGTTGGTAGTGAAAGGCTATCCTCATTTTCAGTTTCTGAGAATAAAACCCCAGGGGTGAAGTCATCTGGTCAATGTCACACAACTCATTAGTGGCTGAGTTGGAACTAGAATCTAGTTCTCTTCATTTGTAGAAGTTGAGATGGAGAATATAAATATAAATTGAGGGGCATGCACACAACTTTCCAAGTTGCCAAAATTTCAATATCTTTTTTCTCTTTTTGGTGAGGAAGATTTGCTGTGAGCTAACAGCTGTGCCAATCTTCCTCTATTTTGTATGTGGGACACCTCCACAGCATGGTTGATGAGTGGAGCAGGTCTGCATCCAAGATCCGAACCCACAAACCTAGGCCAATGAAGTGGAACGTGTGGGACTTTAACCACTCGGCTGTGGGGCCAGCCCCTCAATATCTTTCTACTGATGTGTCCAGAGAGCAATATAGCAGTACTGACCATGCAGCAGGCACAACACTGGAGAGAGAGAGCTTACTCAGATCTCAAACATAACAGAGAGCACACTGGGGAACAAAGCCCAACTCTCCTGGATTAGAAGGTTCCTAAATCATCAAAAATCCAGTCAGCAGCAGGTCTCCCCGACAGAATAGGAAAGAGAATATAGAGGCCACCAAAATCTCTAGTGTGTGTGCCCATGTGCACCTGTGGCACTGCATGCCAAAGGCTGGAAGCCCCTGGACTTCGCCAAGCACCCGTCACTGCAACATCTCCTATGCGGCACTGTCTTGAGTTGCCTTTTCTGTGCTGGTGAAAGATTGCTGACCTTCATGCCCATGGATATGAATTTGAACTACTCCAGATGTTTTACAAGCCTTTTTATGATAACTCCATGTACACATACCCAAAACCTTGCATTCTGTAAAAGTGCATGCTAAAAATAACAGGGCTTTGGGAGGAAATAATGTTGGGGAAATTGAGACAAAATCTTTGGAACTTTGTCACTAAGGCCCTAACAAAAAGAATAACAACTCTCACAAATATAAAGGCACAGTTCACTTTCCACTGGCATTAGCACACAGCATCACGATCAGTTGACCATTTGCAATTTTAAACCTGAGCCTCTCGCATCCTCCTTACAGATATAAGTCCTTGAAGACATGTGCTTCTAATAGACACTAGTTTCACCAAAACTGAAAATCAGATCCTTTGGTTTAATACGGGAGCAAACATCTTTTTAGCTTCTTTATCTGTATGCTCAGCATCCTCAGATAGCGTAATGCATTGAAAAATGTAACCATTCTTGAAGCCACTAACCCAGCCATTACCAGCACTGAAGGAGGTCACTTCTACAGGATTTTCAGCTTTTTCTTGAAGTCCTCATATCTGGCCAAAGCTTTCTCTTTAATTGTGAGGGAACTTGCTTCTAATTACTTCATACATTAATGTGCCTGGGAAAATCCTGCGCAAATCAACATGACTTCTGCATTATACTGACATCATTCCTTATTTACCAATTGTGTTTCAGCCAATTCACATTAAATAAACATGCATTGCAACAGAAGAGGCTCTAGTGCTTTAATTGTTCTGTTTCTAGGACAGAGGAAGCTATTAGAACAGCACCATTCTCCCTGGCATGTTGGCATTTCCATTATCAGTTGTAAATGGAACTGCAAACTGTAGATAATAAGCAGTAGCTGAAAGCACATTTAAGAAAGTCACAGTTAGCCCTCACTTTCTGTGAGCTGACGTTGGTATTACTGAGTGGAATGGTTCAACTGAAGCAAATGTCCAATGGAGGAGTCAAAAATAGAGCAAAAGAGTAGAATGAAATCATACTTTTGTGCTTTCTATCAGGGTATGCATTAGATCTCTCAAATGAAAACCAGCGCAGGAATCCCCCAAAGCTAGCAACCAGAGATGCAGGCAAAATTAAGATAAAAGAGTAAAGATAGCTAGAGGCTTCATCTCTTTAAAATAAAAAAAGTATGAAGACAAAATTGAGAGAAGGAGAAGGAGATGGGATCATTAGGGTTCTGACAGCCACACGAATGCTGATGGTGAAGAGTGGAGATGAGGACTTTCAAAAGGAATAACTTTCTCACCATGAATTCAAACTTATTCGTGTCCTTGTTCCTTATAAAATAATGTCCTGCACCCCCATGGTACACAACCCACTGTGGAAATTACTGCTCTAGTGCAACCCATCAGGGGCACTTAGATGAGCAACATGTAGGGAACATTCCCTCAGGTGCTGTCTCAGCACCAAGGAGAGTTCCAAATCAATCTCCAGGTTAGGCCATTCTTCCATGCTTTTGCCTGTGAGCAACTAAGGGAAATCTAGTCCAGTTGACTCCTTCATCCATCTTTTGGTGTACGTGTGCTCCAGATGGATTCCAATTTCACAATCCAATGAGTTATTTTGTTTCTGTACCAGATCAAGGAGGTCCACTCTCACCTCATTTCATCAGAACCTTGTTCCGGAATTTGTTCCAGATCCAGGCTAGGAAACAAATGCATGAGAATTAAATTTAGGGAACAATGAAAGTGTGAATGCCTATCTGAGAATGAGAGCAATGGTGACCTGCTGTGCCCTGTGTGAGAGCGTGTGTGTGTGTGTGTAGAGTCAAAGTCAATCCTCCACTCATGAAAGCTCTTCTATGGAGATGAAACCATTCCTCTTTTGTCCAGCCATTTTGAAATTGAGATATTATTGAATACATACCAGGTGAATTTTTTTCTCAGTTGAAAACATGAGCAATTGGAATTATAACACGAGAACAGCACATTAGCCTTTCATCTTACTTGTATCTGTTTAATCTGTTTCTCCATGAGACTTGTTTTTTCCTTGAAACAAAATAAGAGCATAAGAGTAAATGAGCTATGATTAAGGTTAGCTTTTTTTATTCTTGCATTTCAAAAGAATGATCTGGACCAAGGAATACTTTTGTGAGGTAAAACAGATGATCCTCTAAAAGGACTCCACAATATGTGAGTATTATTGATTTTTCTTCCTAAGTCATTTCAGTGATACAATCTTGAGCCAAGTGACCATTGATAGTAAATGATGTCCAGCCAGACACTCAAATCTCAGACCTGCTTCTCTCAAAGGCTTAGCACTTCTGGTGAAAACACATACATGTATTTTGAAGTACTAGAAGTATATGATAGAAGATGTAAACTTCCGAGGATTTTTACGTATTATAATAAGTCTAATAACTGGAATTACAAAGGAGAGAGTGAAAGGGAGCCACAATTCCTGAAAGGTCTTTTTTTTTTAATGTCTTTATTCAAGGCTTAAGAAATTACATTGGCTAGATCTACCGCTTCCTAAACCTTAAAGTCAAAAAGTGCCGATACTAAATCACCTAGGATGTAAATTTCTCACATCAAAGGACATATAATAAGACAACATTTCAAAGTGTTAAGTAGCGGCACTACCACCTTAAAAGGTCAGTGATGTCATGATGCATGGGCAATAGGGTCCAAGGGACGTTTTTTACAATCCCTGGTGAGCCCCCTCTAAAGCTCTAACTTAAACCATATTCAAGTCAAAGTCCTAGGAGAATTCAACACCAACGGTTCTTTTGAATTCGATAAAATGCCAAGGGTTTAACCACAAAATTCAAGTCAAGTCTTGGGATCCCAGTAACAACAAACAACAATCCCAACCTTCAGTTTCAATTTATAATTTCCCAACCATGCATCTTCTCTCTCTCTCTCCTTCTGCATCTCTCCCCCTTACCACCTCCATCCTTAGGGCTAAGATGATTCTGGATTGGCTTATGTGGTCCTTGGAAAATCAGAATACCCGTGGACTACACTGGATCTATCTAGTGAAAAAGAGCAAATACTCAAGTGAGAAAAAATGTGGACACTTTAAGACCACATCATAAGGTTTTCCCAAGATCTTCTGTGAAATGAGCAGCATTTAAATGCTTAATCAATGCATGAGAATCTTGGGGTAGGCAGGGCCAGGGGAGAACTCAACAGGATATACCTCCAAGGTTATTCTCCCTGAAAGGCTCCCAGAGCTAAGCTTTGTATCACCTGCATAAATAGGTGACACGAAAATTTCCATAGGTTCATGGGCTCATGAATTTGGCCGACCAGGTGGCCAGGCATTATCTTTGTTTACTGAAGGGCAAGGCTGCTCACCAAGTAGATATTCATTAGATTTGCCAGTTCCAAACAAGTCATCAACTGATATCCAGCTGATCAATTTAAATTACAACTAACTTCACTGTAATTGCTTCTCTAATTATAATGATGTTGAAAGATTTTGAAAATTGTCTTGGCTTCTTAAGCACTTACTATAACTTTAACCTCCCCAAGTCCCAATTGTGGGAATCTGTCCATCCTGTGCGCCAGCCCCCCCCCAAAAAAGTCCTATGGAAAATAAAGGGAAGGTAGAAACAATGAAATGGGATGAATTTTCTAAACCCAAGGATTAGTTTTGTTTGGAAAGTCTGCTTTCACCTTGTCTGAAATACAAAAAAGCCAAAAGCAGGCTGGCCAATTCATTGTAAACTAGAGGTGGTTTAAGGATTGACAAAGGTGCTTGACTGGAATGATGGACAACACTGGGGGTGCTGAGGGACACAATCAGTAGATTGCCGCCTATTCCCATTTGTGTTAATCGTCATATAATAGCTTGTTTAAGTCTTCACACCAGCCTTAATTGCAGGCTGGGTTCTCACCTTTGAACTATAATCTTCTAGTTTTAATTGTAAACAATAAATTGTCTTTCAAATTCTTTCACTTTTCTTTGCCTCCATCCTCTCAAAATGGAGTCCCCATCAGCTTGACATCAAGCAGAAAGTATAGTGGAAAGAGGCAGAGAAGCCAGTGCAGGCCGTGGAAGTCACCTCTGAGCCATACTTCAAGGAGTGAGAATACAGGACAGGAGGACCCAGAGAACCCGGCCTCGATGAACAGCAGCTAGTTCACCCACCACTAGTGGCCCAGTTCACTGTGGCCTGACTTCACCTCCATCCTCATCTCCTCCTTCACAGAGGCCTCTGAGGGAAGCAGTCTTGGCCACTTAAGCAGTTAGTTTCCCCGAGCTTCTGCCAGACATTTCTTTTTAATTGTCTATGGGCCTCAAGAAATAAATGTTACACAACTGAGGTCCTTCAACTTGTTCTAATATGAATCACAAGCAGATCTCTCGATCCACCGGGTAACATTCCCATTTATTCCTTTGTACCTCATTCAGGGCCATTAATCACTCCAGCAGCCGCTCCTTCTCATAGGAGATGTGGGGAAATGATAATGTTTTATGTGAGTAATTAATCCTGTGGCAGATGTGGAGTTTCCAAGACTACTACCATTAGCACATTGACAGGCTTCCGAACACATATTCCAGCACTGGTTAGTAATGATTTTAATCTGCTAATGCTATGCTACTCATAAACAAGAAACATTCAGGCCTTAAGTTTTATATAAGTGCTATTATTTGCAAAGGCTTTTCAGAGAGGACTAGTGGTGAGGTTTTTATATTCTTAATGCTGCTGTTGAATAAACAGTGTCCAATTAACATCCCAGCTGGAAGTACACCATTCCTCAGTTCGGTTTCTTTCTATAATATTCAACATTCGTAAAGTGAATAAAATAATTCAGAGTGAAACTAATGGCCATTTGGGGGAAGGGAAAATAAGAGTTCTGTGCTGGATTATTTTTCTAGTGATGTGGCTTTTGGTCACGGAAATTACAAAAATGGCAAATAGAGCTACAAAAGAAGATGAGAAAATACTGGCTGCATTTAACAATTTAAAAGGATTTCCTAAAAATGCAAAGCTGGCACATGTACCATCTTGGCCTTGCCTGGTGGCTGCTGTGTGGTATTGACATCCAGGAAGCTTGGGTTCTTACGTTAGCTATTTATTCAGAGCTGATACAGTCTACAGTCTGAAATTTACTTTTTCCCCCCTAGTTTACGTAAGGTAACAATCCCTAGATAGTCACAGTACCTCCTGTCTATCTTTCTGCTTGTCACATTTTCTCCTTAAACATGTTTTAGTTATAATAATAAATTGCTATCCATGGTAAACGTGCTTCCTCATAATTTTGCTTCATGCTGAATGTGTAAAATGGCCACTGTCGTTGACAGGCTGTCTGTAAAACTAACAGCAACCACAGTGTTGCTGCAGGAACTAACTCAAGGTCAAACCCTCAGTGTTGTGGAGGATGAAACACCGTCTCTCGGAGAATATTGTTTCTTATTGTTTCATGTTTAACTTGACGAAAGGAAAGGTCTCCTGTCACAAAGACTTTGCAACAAAAAGTTATTTAAAAAGAATTTTTTTTAATCAAATAATTTGGGTAACCGTTTGCCTGTGGGTTGAGAAGGAATGCCAATAATGGTGGCAGAGGGATGTGCCAAGTTACTAAACGAATGGATCCCAGCCTGGTCAGCACGCTCCTGTCAGCCAGTCAGTCTTCATCTTACGCCAGCATCTGCAAACCTCTTTAGCCCAAGGCACCACACCAAGGAGAAAGTTTTGTTTATTCGTTTTGTTTAGGCAGTTATGTTATGATCCATGAATAAAATGATCCTTCATACGGGAGCCCATCATTTAGATAGACTGCACAAGTATGCTTCAGGCAAAATACGATTAACACTCCTAATGTCCCCCCAGGGAAACAGCTAGGAGATAGTGTCACTCAGGGGATAACATTCCTTTCTGCAGTCACCCAGAAGACCCTCCTTTCTCTTACCTCTATTTCCTTTGTCTTTTGGTCCAAGGAAAGGGCACTAACATTTGATGAATGTCTATGAGCGTATACTATGTCCTAAGCACTCTCCAGCCTTATTTCATCCTCAGAACATCCTCGCGAGACAGGAATCATTTTCTCATTTCAGATGAGCCACAGCAAGGATAATTAAATTGTTCCTGGCCCAGAGACTCAAATGCAGTTTTTCTGGCTCCAAACTCTGCTTTCATTACTATTTCTTCTCATCCTCCCAGTACCAACCACGTTCCCTGGAAATTATTCTTCAGGCTCCAGAATGATAAAATTATCCCTCCCTTGGAGAAAGGCAAATTTTAGCTATCAATTTAGAAGCTTATATTATCAAAGGACATTTTTCACCTTACAGAATATTTGCCAAAGAGTCCATTTAAACTGAAAGCTTCATTGGTGTAACCAAAATTTCAAAACTACATCCAACTTCAAAGTTTGAATCTTCTCATTCCTGTTTTCAATAATTCTTCTCTTGAACAAGTGACATAACAGTATAAGGAGATAATAAGTGCCTTCCCCACAAACAGGTGTAAATCTTCTGATCAAATTCATCAGTTTTGGTGACTTAACTATAAGCATACCTCAAAGACTGAACTGTGTAGCTCAAAGGCCACATGTTATGTGCCTAAAAGGAAATAATAAGCCTGACAAATGGTGAATTACATTAGTTAATTCATGCCTTTAAAAACTCTTTGCATTTTATTGGTCTCATGTAGATACCATGGACTCATGTGAGACCTGCAATCTTCTTCCTTTATCAGTCTAAAAAAGGCAGACAGCATTTTTTTCAATGGCCATGGCCTTTGGAAAATGTACAGTCATGATCCCAAGGTGATGTTTTAAATTCTTTCAGTCATTCTTTTCACAGCAAACTCACATTTTCATAATACGTTTCTTCCTTAAATTAACAAATGATTATTTTGCACCTGCAATGAGCTAGGCCGTGTGCCAGGCTGCCAGTGACAACAAGCTGAAAAGGTGCTGTTCTTGCTCTTGTAGAGCTTACCTTCTAGATCAGGGGTCAGCAAATGTTTTTCTGTAGAGGGCAAGAGAGATAATATTTTAGGCTTTGTGTAGTCTCCATTGCAACTACTCAATTTTGCCATCATAGTACAAACAGCCAGAGACAAGAGATAAGTTAATAAGCATAGCTGTGTTCTAGTGAAAGGTTATTTACAAAAGCAGGCAGTGGGCCAGACTTGGCCTGCCTGCCATAGTTTACTGATCCCTTGTTCTGTAAAATGCCACGTTGCCTTTTATTATGTGTATCACTCAAGTAGCCAGTCCTGGTGGTCTAGTGGTTAAGATTCGGCGCACTCACTGCCACTGCCATCTTCATTTCCTGGGCAGGGAACCACACCACCCATCTGTTGGCTCATACTGTGGTGGCTGCATGTTGCTGTGATGCTGAAAGCTATGCCACCAGGGTTTCAAATACCAGCAGGGTCACCACGGTGGATAGGTTTCAGTGGTACTTCCAGACTAAGACAGACTAGAAAAATGGAACTGACCACCTACTTCCAAAAAAACTGGACATGAAACCTCTAATCAGCAGTGGAGCATTGTCTGATACAGCTGCAGAAGGTGAGAGGATGATGCCTAAAGACTGGGCAGGGTTCCTCTCTGCTGTACATGGGGTGATAGGAGTCAGAATCAACTCCACTGCACTAGCAACAACATTGTTCAAGGAAACCTAACAATATTTTAAATTAAACTTTTTAATTTGATATAATTATAGATTAACATAAACTTGTAAGAAATAATACAAAGGAGGGGGTGGGGCAAATGGATGAATGTGGTCAAAGGGCACAAAACTTCCAGTTATAAGATGAATAAGTGCTGAAGATGTAATGTACAGCATGGAGACTATAGTGAACAATACTGTATTATATATTGGAAAGTTACTAAACAGATCTTAGAAGTTCTCACCACGGGGCCGGCCCCGTGGCCGAGTGGTTAAGTTCGCGCACTCTGCTGCAGGCGGCCCAGTGTATCGTCAGTTCGAATCCTGGACGTGGACATGGCACCGCTCATCAAGCCACACTGAGGTGGCATCCCACATGCCTCAACTAGAAGGACCCACAACTAAGAATATACAACTATGTACCGGGGGGCTTTGGGGAGAAAAAGGAAAAACATAAAATCTTAAAAAAAACAAAGTTCTCACCACAAAAAAACTTGTAACCATGTGAGGTGACCAGATGTAACTAACCTTGTTGTGATAATCATTTAGCAACATATATGTATATCCAATCATGACATTGTACACCTTAACACTACACAATATTATGTTAAAAGATAAATTGAGGCATGTTAAACTTCTAAAAGTTTGAGTAAAACATTGATTCAAATTGGGTAGCACCAGACTGGAAGTGATCAGAAGCTCTCCACTGACAGGAGCTAGGGGAAAGGCTTATAGAGAAGAGGTGAAGGCAAAGCAAGGAAATGATTTTATTGGCTGCAGTTTAAGTAGTTGCATTATTTGTGAAAGCCTAGTTGGCTGTGATTAGCTGTCTTTAGGTTTTGATTTCCTAACCTTGAGGCATTACAGGCTTAGGTTTTAGTTTGCTTATGTAGGCTACTAAGGCTTTAAAGCCAACTTAGTCTAATGGCCTCCTCGTTTAATTAATTTAATCTAAATAAAGCTGGAAACATTAATTAATTAATTATTTTTTAAAGGAAATAATGCAGAGAAATCCTATGCACCCTTTACTCAGTCCCCCAATGGTATTATCTTCAAAAACTAGAGTATGATATCACAACCAAAATCTTGACATGGATACACTCAAAATACAGAACACTTCCATCACAATGAGAATCCCTCACGTTGCTCTGTTTATAGCCACATCTACTTTCTGCTCCAAGCCTCCCCCTTAACCCTAGCAACTATTAAGCTGCTCTCCATTTCTATAATTTCTACATAACTTGGAAGGGTAAAAATAAAATTCTCTTCTACTCCTCTTACTGTTACTACAGCACAGAGAGTCACATCTTACTTAGCAGTTAGATTCTAAAGCTAGTAAATAAGTTGAAAATTGATTGCATATAATCAAGTTTATCCTCAGCAATTCTTAGAAAGGTACCATTTTGTAGGTACACACACCAACTCATTCTAAACACGGTAGAGCCGACTCTTCCTTCAGTGGTATACCAGATGGCTTTCTCTTTGTTTAGGCACCTAAAGAAGTCATTTGTTCATATCCAGGACTATGCAGTTTTAATCATTAGAATTACATTCAGCACTTCAAGAAAAGAGGCATGTGGAAACTGAGGTTTCCAAGAAAACAACAGCTCAGCTTCCTATCTCAAGGGTTTGACACAGCGTGTGATTCCTCTTGGAGTGGAACATCCTTCTTGTCCCTTCCGTGTCTCCTTTTTGTTCTTTAACACCAAGCATATATTGCTTAGTATTAAATATATTGATGCCTCTCATTATCACTGGGGGTTTTACAGTATAATTCACAGTCTTGGTAGAGCTCATCTAACTCAGTAGAAATAAAACTGCTGCCTGTTTCTGTGCTAGTTCCACACATTGGGTTATACTTTAGGCAGCTGACTTCTTACTACTGAATCTGTTCTTAAAAAAATGAAAACACACCCTTTCATTTAGTAGACAGTATCTAGTTTTGGTATTGTCATTTTTGGCATACTGCATGAGGATTTCTTATCTAAAATTGGATCTTTATTTTGCACATTAAGGAGACAAATAAGTTTGGTTCTTGTTTTTTTGGTCTATCGCTGCTGTCGCTACTGTTTTTAGCTCTCATGCAGTAAAAAATGCAAACACCTAGAAAGAATCAGTTATCTCCAATGCTAAGGGCTTGATTGTCTTCTGATTTTCAAAGAGCTTGACTGATGTAAACCAAATCTGGTTTTTTGTGTGTGTTTTCTAAAGGTAGGCATTATTCAAAGGGAGCATTCTGATATGCCAAGTTTTCACCTAGAGGGAATTTTTACAGTCAAGTTACAACCCTCTTAAAATAAGGTTATAATGGGAAACACCAGGAGACAAACAGTAGTCACTTCAGAAGTTCCCTTTAATAGCAGGATAAGCATTGGCTATTTTTTCCTGAAAAATATTTGAAATACCTAAATGTGTTCCACCTTTTTCCAGCCACGCACCTTCTAAATAATTTCCTAGTACAAGTGGAGGTTTGTGGCTGAAAGAGCAGTTCAGGCTGTCTGGAATGTTTCCTTAGATTTCTGCAGCAAGCTTGTGCCCTTCACATCAGTCACTCTTTACATGAAAGAGACTTGATTTAACTCCTGCCCAGCTGCACCCCCTTGGACTGTTATGAAATGGAAGCTGATATTCAATGCATGAGCTTGATCCTGAGAGCCTCACAATTCACAGCCTTCCCCAGTGGGAGTGAAGCCCTCTCTCTTTAGCCTTTGCTGTGCACCGTGGCCAGGCCTCTATTTTAGCACATCTTTCATGCTGCCTTGTAGAATAATTTCTAGGGTACATGTTCATTTTTCCAACCAGATTCCAGGCTCTCAAGAACAAGAATATTATTCCCTACAGCATCTAGCACAGAGTCTAGCACATGGTGAGTGGTCAAAAGGTATGTGTGAGGATAAAGACCCTGAGAGCTGTGTTTACTGCAGTCAGTGAAAAAGATCTGGGATATCAGATTTTGGCGATACAGAGGGCTAGGGACACATTGATCTTAGATAAACTACAGCAACAACAAGTTTTTAACACATTTTAGGGAGCACAGGAAAGTAAGGGAAATCTTAAAAGGAAGAGAAAAAAGAAATAGAAAGGGGCCAGCAAGGTGAAACTGAAGCTGAAGGGGTAAACAAAAAACACAAAATCTGGAGTTAATCTGAGAAGTTCCAACATTGGTACGGGGTACAGGTGGCTAAGTTCTGTGAATGCTGCAAGTTGGGGGAGCTGCATCTGGGAAACATGCGTTAGCATGGCTCCTCCAGATAAGCTGAAGAGGTCCGAGGTCAGTAGCACCCCACTCCCAGCTCCAAGGAGCAGCATACACAGAGCCTCTCTGAAAGAAAGTGGCCCCAATTAGGGTCACCTGATTCCTAAAGATTAAGTCAAACCAAGTAGGAACTCGTAACAACGACAACAAATCACCAAACACACAAGGAAATAAGCAGCTATAAGTGAATTCAGCAGAAACAAAAATCCATAGATGTAGTGTCCTGATAATTTCAATATGGAAATAATTCTAAGATAGAGAATATAAAATATGAAGGAAATGGTTTTTTTAGTATGTAATTTTAGAAGAAAACAGCAAGCTACAAGAGACTTTACAAAATTATCAGGAAGATTTGAATAAGAATCCAACGAAATTGTCAGAAATAAAAAACATGAGCATTTAAATTTACAACTCAGTTGAAATGTTGGACAGCAGATTATATATAGCTGAAGAAAAAATTAGAGAACTGAGTGACAGACATTTGAAAGTACAGTGTAGTGCAGAGAAGATGAAGCATGAAGTATTAAGTAAGAAGGTTATGAAATCTTGTAAACTGAATTTTCAGAAGAAGAGCAAAAGAATGGAGGAGAGACAATATGCAAGAAGAAAATGTCTGATGACTTTCCATAACTAATGAAAGGCAAAAATCTTCAGATACAGGATGCAGAACTTACGTCAAATAGCATAGATACAAACAAATTCACACCTAGGCATATTGTAGTAAAACACCAAAATACCAATGACAAAGGAGTATAAAGCGTGTAGAGAAAAAGGTAAATCACCTGCAGAGAAACAATTAGATGGACAGCAAGATTCTCAAGAGCAGTGATGAAAGCTAGAAGGTAGTGGAAGAGCACCATTACAATGCTAAGGGATGCAAACATCAACTCAAAACAAATTGAAATAAACAAATATTAAGTATTTAATTTAAATAAACAAATACTAAGAGAGTTTACCTGGTAGACCTTCACTAATGGGAGATATATTTCAAGAAATAAGGAAACTCCTCAATACAGAAGATCTAAGATACAAGAAGAAAATAAAAAAAGAAATTGGCAAACACGTACATAAACCTAAAAAACATTGTATAAAATAATACCGATGCTCGTGTCCAAACTAATGCACAAAAATAGAAGGTAATTTGGAGGTTGCTTATCAGGATAACAAGTACTTTTAAGTTCTTGTATTGTTTGGAAAAGCATTTAGATAAGACTTACTTTGCACTCTGTCAAGATAAATATACATAGTAAAATTTCAAGTATACACACTGAAAAAACAGAGTCTATATCCTCTGAACAAGTGGAAGGAAAAATAGAATGATAACATAAAACAAACTCAAACAATTTGGAAAGAGAAAGAGAAACACATAAAAGTCAGGATATAGAAAATCCACAGAGTGATATGATAGAAATAAATCCAAATGTATTAGTAATACATTGTAAGTGAATTGAGTTTTCCTGCTAAGAATTAGAGATGATCAGACTGGAAGAAAAAATATCCAGCTACGTGTTTTTCACAAAAGAGAGTTTTAAAATTGGGACATGGTAAGGCAGGAAGTAAAAGGAGAAAAAAATACACAAGGTCAATATGAACTACAGAAAACAGAATTAGATATATTAATTCAGAAAGAAAAAAATGGGCTTAACAAATATGTATTTTTTTAAACAAAGCATGTCTCTATGGTGAAATGTTCCTCTCAACAGAAAAATGTAAAAATTCCAAAACTACCTACACCAAATACAGACTCAAAATATATAAACCAACAAAATGATAAAACTACAGATAAAAATTAACAGATCCATCATTATAATGGAACTTTTCGATACATACGTCTCAGTTCTTGACAGGTCAAGCTGACAAAAACTTGGTAAATAGATGAAATTTAAAATCACAATCAAACTACTTGACTTAAAGGACATAAATAGGATGTGTACCCAACGGAGAATACGTAGTCCTCCCAAGCACAGACGGAACAGCTATAAAAATTGGCTGCACAGAAACCATAAAGTAAGCACCAACAAATTTCCAATTTTAACCATAGTACAATCAAGTCAGAAAACGAATGTTAGAAATGTGAGGGTTTTTTAAAACTCATGCAAATATAAAACAGACTTTCAAATAACTCTTAGGTAAAAAAAAATTTCTAATAGATATTTTTAAATACAAGTAAATGATAACTGTGGCAGGTAAGCACCAGAACAAACACAAAAACAGAAACTAGAAACTTGGAGGGGGTATTTGCCACAGACATAGCCAAAAATGGACTGGTGTTCAAAAGGTGTAAAGAAGTGCTGGTAATCCATAAGCCCAGCACCCAAGTGGCAAAACTAGGCAAAGAGATGAACAGATGTTCTAGAGAACAGGAAACAAGACTGCAAATAAACCTATGAAAAGAGATTCGACCTCATTCTCAGTCTTTGAAACACAAGATCTCATTTTGCAACCATTAGATTAGCAAATATCAAGAGACTTGATAATACTAAATGTTGGCAAGAGCATGGAAAAAAAGAACCCAGCGCTCAACTATGAGAGTATGAATTATAACAACTTTGCAAGAAAATTCTGCATTATTTTGCAAAGTCGAACTTGTAGCCAAAATTTACAGTGCTGGGTAATTACTAGAGACTCTCTTGTGTATGTACACCGGGAGACATGGACAGAATCGTTCAGAACAGAATGATCGCAGCAAAAAAACAAGCATTAGACCAAATTTATATGAACGATATGGATAAATGAATTGTGGTTTACTTAAACAGTGGAATTATACTGCTATGAAAACAAATTAACCATAACTATGTACAAGAGCATGGATGAATTTTAGAAACATTATGCTGAGCAAAGAGTACATAAAGTATGAAAATAAATTTTATGAAGTTCAAATAAAATCAAAGCTAATTATATATTGTGGTAAAAGCATGTGTGTAGTACATCTGTGGCAAAAGTTCTACTTAAAGGACAAGGAAGGTTTGGGAGTTGGGGAAGAAATGGTACTGTGTTTCTTTTGGGGGTGCTAAAAATGCTCTAAAATTGATTGTGGTGGTGGTTGCACTACTGTGAATATCCTAAAGACACTGAATTGTACCCTCTAAATAGGTCAGTGGTATGGTATGAGAATTATACCAGTAAAATTGTTTAAAGAAAAAAGCAAAGGAATGATTAAACACTAAAGTTCAGGAGGGTGGTGGCCTTTGATAATAGAACACGGGGATCAGGGAGATAGAGCGTAATTTCAGAGATGTTTCTAACCATTTTATTCAAGCTTGTAAGTGTATATGTGTGTGTATTTTTCCATATGTGTCAAATATTACATAAATTTAAAATGTTCTGAATAAAACAAATCTAAGTATATTTCCCCTAGGGAGACCTTATTTTGAGCTTCCAAGAATTCACATAAGGAAAGTTCTAACTTTAGAAGTGACCCACACCAGGATTCTTATTTTGGGAATAATTGAGTTTGTATGAACAAAGTGAAAGAAATTTTTAACACTAAAAGCCTGTGGTATGTAAGTTTTCCCATAATAATTTAAAAATCTAAATACATGTTCGGAGTACAAGAAAACAGCGGATATTTATATCACCACTTTGCCCTTGCAAGCGTTTTTACAGCAAAGCTGACTTGTTTAAAACCTTTGTACATGAATGTTTCCATTGGACTTGAAAAAATAAGTGCATGCCTTTAACTTTTATTTAAGACTTTTGCAGTTGGCCTTAAGGCATGGAAAACAGGACTGTACTAATATGGCTAGAGTTCTAGCTATAAATTCTACAATGTTTCGCTCTTCCCCTTTCTATTTTCACAAAGAATATTATTTATTTCACAGGAAGAATAAAATTGCAAATAGTAAGAATTATTATATCTAAATTGTATTCGACCAAAATTAGTTTTAAATTACGTCACTCTTTGTGTCTTCGATTTGTATATCTAGAAACAATAAGAAATGTTGTTTCTAAAGTGCATCATGTGAGGATCCCACTGGATCTCAAACACAGCCATTTAGAAGAACATTGTACCTATGATATGGCTCTTTCAGATAGAAAGATGATAGATGATAGATAGATAGATAGATAGATAGATAAATGCCCTGGTTACACAAACAAATCACACATCTTTCCATCTCTGAGGGCAGGGGGAGGAATATTACATATATAAAAAACTTTGCCCAAACCTCCATCCTAGGCTTCCAAAATGAGGTAAACACCTCCCCACCTCCACCAATAGTAAAGGAATAAATCTCCTGAGACAAAACACTGGATTCCTCTCATTCACTGCCACTGCCATGGCATATTTGAGGGCTCAACCACATCTAATCCCTGTTCTAAAGTAAATCCTTAGCGATATCTAGTCTATATAAATCAAACACAAAAGCCATTTCAAATATCATTTGCATACTTTGTTCCATTTGATATTTATCAGAGCCCTATGAGGTATAAAAGGGAGATTTGGTTATTTCCATTTTATAGATAACAACACTGAGTCACAGAGATCTTAACTAACTCACAAGGATTTAATAAATCTATAGAACTGGGACATTTTATTAACCCTCTTGGAGCCTTGATTTCCTCACCTGAAAAATGGGGATAAGAACAGTACCCATCTCATGGGGCTGTTATGAAAATTAAATGTTAATAGATGTGAAGAATTTAGAATGATGCTGTCACATAATATATGCTATATGTTAGCTATTATTTTTGTTATGCAGGTTCCAGAATCAGTGCTATTTTTATCATACCTTGCTAACACTTGTAGGTTGCCTGGTTCCTATTCCAAGTTGGTAAAAATGTGACTCAGATCTAGCTCTGAATAACAGAATGTTTGAGCTGGGAGGCACCCTAGAGTTCTGTATGGCCCAACCTTCCTTTCTGGAATCCTAGGATTTAGAAAGATCTAGAGCATAAGATGAGTAATCTGCAGAACTGGGTCTAGAGCAAAGCCTCCCAGTTCCCAATCTTCAATCTTTTCGCGGCAACTAACAGAATTGATCCAACGTCTCTCGGAGCCTTTCCTTACTCCTGAGATTTGGTCTAATTATAATTTGGTCTTACTATTTTTGGTCTTATTATTTATATTGCCCCCAAATGTGTCCCTTCCTAGAACCAGCGGGTTTCCTTGATCTAGCAGCCTGGCCTGCCAGAGATCTAATTTCCCTGGCAAGTGTTTGCTTAGCAGTTTGCCCACCTAAACTGCTATCTGTCTTCACCTGTGGAAATGTCTACAGTGTACACATTTGTTTGGCTACAAGATACCCAGGTAGAAGACTTCGCACAACAAGGGCTTTTCCTGTCATTGCTAGAATTTTACCTTAAAGTTCTGGAAATAAACATAGACTTTGTAAAACAGTGTCTTAGAAGGACTTGACTAGCACATTCTTTTGATGTCCACATATTTTTTTTACATGCCAGGCCAAATATTCTTAAGTTGATTCATATTAGTAAATTCTATGGTCTCATTTGAGCACCTCCAGCAGAGTCTGTAAGCCCCAAACCTTTCCCTCTTTTACTTGTAAGATGTCTTAAGTTCCACCCAAAAAGATTCTTCCTTTCTCGAAGGCAGTTCTGTCTTCCAGAGTCCCTCCTTAAAGTGCAAATGCCCTTCAAAAAGCAACCACTTCAAGAAAGCAGTTTAGCATGACTGTCAGCTAGGCTCAAGTCCACAATCTGTAGGAATCGACTAAAGATAGGGCCATCAGTGGGGGAATGGGGAGGGGAGGCAGGTGGACTGGGGACGTTCCTGGAAGTAGAAGAAGGGAGGCACATGTTCACCCAGAGGACAGAGTCACTGAAGACACTGTGGGGGAGGAGGGAAATCCAGCAAAACCATACTTCTCCCATTTTACAGTATTTTGGAGGAGTAGCTGATACAAAGAATTAGAGAGGTTTGCTTATAGGGGCAGCGGAACAAAACAATTTTGTGGCAAGTCACCCAGAAACGCAGAATCACAGGTCACCAATTTAACTGGCTTCAGTACCATGATTTTGAAGTTGTCATAAAAAACGTGTTAAATCAGAACAAAAGTTTTATTGTCCTGTAGTACTGTACACAGTCTTTCTAGAATAAAGCAAATACTTCTATGAGCTGGGAGAGGGAACCATATGGCTAAGAAAGATTCTCCACTGATACTTGATTCATGTCTAGACTCCCTGAAGAAACTTAATGTGTATCTTGAGATTCAAGCTGAGAGATGTTTTAGTATTTATCTTTCCTAATTTTAAAGGTGATGCCTTTTCTTTGTGAAAAATGGAGAAATTGAAAATGATAACACAGTACTGTTTCTTATTCATCAGATAGGAAAAAACTGAAAAGTCCAATAATACCAAAAGTAGATCAGCATGGAGAGAAATAGAAACTTTAATAGACTGCTGGTAAGAGTATATTTTGTAAGAACCACTCTGGCAAGATCCAGTAAAGCTCAACATGCATGTACCCTGTAATCCAGAAACTCTATCACTGCGTATCCACCGGGGGGAACTTTCACACCTTTACACCACAAAACATGTACAAAGATGTTTGTTGTAGGACTTTTAATAGCGAAAACAATCTCTCTGTTCCTCAGAAGGGATAGAGATAAATTGTTAAATAGTATATAGCAGTCAAAATTAATGAACTATATCCACAAATATCAACATGGATAAATATCACACATATCAAAATTTTTAAAAGGCAAGTTACAAAAGGATATGTACAATATGATACCATCTGGTTATAATATTAACACTATATATGTTGTTTAAGATACATACATATGTGGTAAAAATATAAGACATAGTTGTGAATGATACACAGCATAGTAAATGGATGAACTCAGGCTGCCAGTGACAGGAAATCTAAAATTACAGTGGCTTAAATAAGTTAGAATTTCATTTGTTTGTCAAATTAAAGTCCAAGTAAGCTGCTTACGGTCATAATGGCAACTCTGCGAACATGAAGAAACCAGGATTGCTCCGTCTTCTAGTTGCATCATTCTTAACACACAGCTTCTACCTGGTGGCCTAAGACAGCTGCTGCCCTGATAGCCACATTCCAGCCAGCATAAGCGAAAAAGGGAGGGGAGGGACAAGCCCCCCCACTTCCTTTAAGGAATCTTCCAAGAAGTTGTGCATAGAACTTCTGCTTTAATTTCACTGGTAAGAATTTAGTCATATGGCAATACCTGGGAAATGCAGTGTTTATTCCAGGCAAACACGTGCCAAACTAAAAATCAGGACTTACTTCTGCAAAGGAGGGAGGGGGGAGAGATAAGTGTGGAACCGAAGCTATTATCTGTAATATTGAATTTTTTGTGTGCTTTAAAAATAGATTTGAAGCAAATATGACATATTGTTAGCATCTGTTTAATCTTTGTGGTGGGGGCATAAGTGTCATGATTTTCTTAACTTTTCTATTTCTTTGAAATTTTCGTGATTTAAAATGTTTTATGGAAAATACAAGAAAACAGTAAAGAAGAAAAACCATTGCCCATAGTTCCCCACACACATATGCATATCCATACACCTTAAAATGCCAACGTTAAAATTTGGTGGTCGGGCCTTCAATCTTCCTCCTATACATATGTTTACACAATTGTGTCTTTAATACTTACATATTTTGTGACCTGTTTTTTAATTTATTGTGTCATAAGCATTTCTTGTCTTTCAGAATTCTTTTTAAATATAATATTTAATAATAAATAATAAATTTAACTACTGACTGCCAAGTAATCTATTATGAGGATGTATCATAATTTAATTAACCCCCTATTGTTGAACATAAGAAATTTTAAATGAATTTTATGTTTACATATTTTGAAGGTACGTATTTTAACTTCTGTTACTTTGTCTCCAGATATTGTTCATTTCAAGGTAAAATAATTATTGGTGTCCCCATTCATTTATAGTTATAATTCATTGCAGAAGTGATTTTTGTTTTCCAAAGAGATTCTTGTTTCCTAGTGCTTCCATTCAGGTGGTATCTGTTCCAGACAAAGTCTTTGGACCAAATTTCTGAGAATCCGTTGAAATCCCCTAGGACCCAGAAGTTCTTCCCACATGTTTTCCTCCTCTCCAGGAACTTCCATTGAGTCTTAGAGTTCAATAGGAGTCCGCAAACATGAGAAGGAGGCACATCAAGGGCCTTGGTCCCTGGGAATGGGGAGAGCCCGCAGTGCTCTGTGTTCCCAACTCTGCAAGGCCTGAGCTTCTTCTGCACTGGACCAACCTAATCCCATGACACCACCTCCACCGATGAGAGGCGCTTTGAAAGCAATATTTGGGTACACTTGGTGAATGTGGCCAAGGTGCTCATTTTTTTTTAATGCTAAATTCCATTCTATCTACAAGAAGAATGATTCTCTTTATCACTCTCTTGCTCTCTCATGCATTTTTAGTAACCTTCCATTTAGACAATGCATAAAAGATACCTTCTGTAGCCCCTCTAATGGATTATATTTTGTCATTTATGCTTGCAAATGGACTTTAGAACCCTATCTAGTTACTATCACCATGAACCAGAATTTAGGGATGCGCTTTCAACCTGATTCAAAAAGATATCCTTGCTACAAATCCTGAAAGAACCTATTCAAACAAAAACTTTCCAACCACTCCCAAATTGATTATTCACTCATTCAACAAATATCTGTTGAACACCCAGCGTGCTCCATTTCTGGTGCTCCCGAAATGCTCAGAATAAATGTGGGAGGTAGATCAGTAAGTAAGCAATTAAGACAACGCAACACCTAAGTAAGCTAAGTGCAAGGTGCTAAGTGAGTATCAATTTGAGTGTGTGCAGTTTGTAAAACAAAGACCTGGCCCCTTTCTCTGATACATGTGTTATTAATCAGGCCCACTATGAGAAACACATAGACTCACAAGTTCTGCCCAATAATTTCATGGCAGCCAGTATCACTTTCAGGAGTCCCTTTCTCCTTCTAGCTCCTTTCCCAGATATTCATGACTGACACGCCATCCTCATCATCACCTTTGCTCTGTGTGGATTCTAACTACATGTCCCTCACAACCCCATTCTTGGGGAGGCTCATCTTCCAGGAAGCTGTCTCTGAGCCATGTGGCAACTCAGATCGTCTCAGTCTTCTTGCTACCGCGTCCCCAGCACCCACCCCAGTGGCTTGAACAGGGCTTCTACAATAAGAAGTACATAGAACAGACTGGATAAACTCAGATCATGCTTGAGTTATCTTTAGCCGGATTTTTTTAAAAAATGGATCTTGTAAATGAAGCCCATGGTGAAGACTCAATAAATATTTGTTGAGTGAGAGAAAGAATAAATCAATTATTGTGCTTCCAGATTCCCCTTACAGAGTGCTGAGCACATAGTTTTCAATAAATTGTCAATTGATTTCCTTCTGTGGTACAACATTATGAATGTACCAACAAAGTTTTCCACAATTAGTCTTTTTCTAATGATTTAGCTTGCTGATTTTTACATAATAATATATATTCAATTAGACATAGAATGTTTGGCAGCACATTTTCAGAATGTAGTGGTAGTGAGATCCACCTCCCAATTTTGAGATAATAGAGAGAAAACTTTTTAAAAGAATCTCTAGGCCAGTCCAAGGTTCTCAGAAGGCAGGACCAATACCACTGGAGCCATGTCTATCTAAAGAATGCAAAAAAGATTCCTCCGTGGGGCTGGCCCCGTGGCCGAGTGGTTAAGTTCGCGCGCTCCGCTGCAGGCGGCCCAGTGTTTAGTCAGTTCGAATCCTGGGCGCGGACATGGCACTGCTCATCAGACCACGCTGAGGCAGCGTCCCACATGCCACAACTAGAAGAACCCACAACGAAGAATACACAACTATGTACCGGGGGGGCTTTGGGGAGAAAAAGGAAA